AACATTGAAAAAAAAAATTTTTTTAAAAAAAAAAGAATCTACCTGAAATTCAGCATATATAGCTCGCCAGTGCTTCTTCATATAATCAGCCTGGCCAAAGATAACTTAAATATGTTTCAGGAAATTCTTTTGTGTGTGTGTGTTTGATTGTAACAATGTAAACCTGTCCCTGATTTTAGTTGCTTGTAGAGGCCTTTTACACAACGCTTAGCAGTACTGACTTCTAAAATTACTGAACGAATTTTCAAGTCAAGTAGCTCTTAGTAGATTTATTCGAAGTTTCCCAAACTTAGATCATTTCTTAAAGATATGACTCTTTTCCCAAAGTTGAGGAAGGAGCAAGGATACAAAAGGACTTTCGGGAAGGACAGAAAATAGTGGAGATGAAGTTTAATAGGAAAAAAGGCGTGTAGCGAGTTGAGAGAATCACCCCACAGGTTTGGGGAGGCAAAGACTTTATCTCCCTCTTAGGTTTCTGGCAAACCTGAGCATTAAAATTGACCCGGGCAGATTAACAAGGAAAACATGTAGATTTTAAATGTCTGTAACAAGCATATAGTGGAAAATGAAATTAAGAAGCTGAATGAGTCATTTATATGTTAAGATTGAACACAGGAGTATAATGCATGAGTGAGTAAATGTGCGGAGGGACAGATAGGGGTAGGGAGTTACTTTAACAAGGTTTTGCAGTGTACAGATTTCTCAGCCTGACCCCTTCTCACAGGGGACCCTCTTCCCCTAAAGAAAATAATAGTTCTTTATTTTCTGGCACCCAGCATGTAGATTATCCATATCCAAAATAAGACTATTTATAGTTGCTTACTAGTATCAAATTGGAGACAAAGGGCAGTACCCTCAAAAGCTCAAAACTCAATAATACAAAGATTGACCATATGAGGGTTTTACCTGTACAGTGAGCCTAGGATCAGAGCAGGATTCTCAGGGTGGGGATTAAAGGCAGGACTATGCTGTCAAGCTTGCTTCTAGAATGTATATGTATATTTTATACAGGTATACATCTGTTCAAAAGGAGAAAAGTAGTCAAATGACCCCATTTACCTGTCCCCTAATGTGAATAATTCTGAACATGTCCAAAAGATATGACATAATAAAAGGGTAATACCCTATTGAAAAGGTTACAGGGTCCCCCATGAGAGACCTTTGTTTTACTAGGTCTAATGTTACTGTTTTTTGTTTTTTTATTAAAAAATTTTTTTTTTAATGTTTATTTATCTGTGAGAGGAGACAGTATAGGAAGGGCAGAGAAGAGAGGAGACACAGAATCGAGCTTAGGCTCCAGGCTCTGGCCCGGTGTACAGGCCGACTCAGAACTCCCGAGCTCAGCAACTGGAGATCATGACCTGGCTGAAGTCGGACCTCAACACGGCCTTTGGAGCCGCTGACGCCTGTTACTTTCAGTGGGGGTAAGAGCACTGGCGCTCTGCGAACCCCTGACATGCAGCTTCGGAAGCCAGCATAAGTGCTTGGTAGTTGTTCTGTAGTTTGTGAGAAGTCAGCCAGCTCATTGAGGCTTGAGGAGGCAGTGTGACAGCCGGAGGCCACCGTCTACTAGAGTGAGTAGCTTCCCTGTAGGGATGCCTCCCCTGACTTCACTGCATTGAAACATTTGATCTACACTTCATTGCCGCTGGTCCCAGGATTTTGGTGGCCATTGGCGAGCACTGAGGCCTGACCATCATCGGCGAAGGTGATGGTCTCACCAGAGTCAATCCCCGCCAGCAACCTCCGTCGGGGAGTGAGGTGAGGCGGAGGCAGAAGCCTCGCTTGCGGAAGTCCACTGCCTATGATCCGATGTCTCGTCGCG